AAAAAGTTGTAGAAATCAAAAAGATGACGAAAGTGGCAAACACTAAAAAAAGTGCCAATTTTTTTTTTTTTAAATGACAGAAATTTTAAAAAATAGTGACGAATTCAAAAAAGTTACACAAATTTAAAAAAGTTACACGGATTAAAAAAAGTAACAAAATTCAAAAAAAAAAAAATATACAAACTCAAAAAAGTGACAAACTTTTAAAAAAAAAAAAAGTAACACAAATTCAAAAGATGTGACAGTGAATAAAAAATTGACACACTCAATGTCACTTTTTAGTTAAAAAATGACATACAATTCACTTTTATTAAAAAAATTAATGTTTCTCACTCAAAAAAATGATAGAAATTAACATCTAAAAGAAATTCTTATAAACAAATTAAAAGTTTAGTGAAAGATTTATTGTTCAATTATAAATTCATTCTAAGTGAAATTTTTTAATAAAAAAGTGGCACAATATGCTATATCACTATTAATGAAAGTGTCACAACGTGCAAATAAAAAAAAAAGTATAAACACCATAACTCTTCATCAAAGCTTGTTAATCCTATACAAATCATCTATCATTGAATATTTTCAATGCAATTTACAGGTTATCTTTGCTTCATCAAATACTTCTTTATCTCTACCTCCATCAGCATATCACATATGCCTTCATTTAACACTCAATTATTGTCTGTATCATAATCCTCATCATCTCTGTCCATCTCTCTTCCTGTGGTATTAAATGTGGAAGTAATTCAATAAAATGGCAAAAATTCAAAAGAGTATCAAACACTAAAAAAAGTGAATACTCAAAAAAATGACATATAAATCAAAACATTAGAATAGATCCGATGGATGGTTGATTTTCATTTTTATATATTTTCCTTCTATTAACTAACATATTAAGTTGGATTTGGAAGACAAAAATTTAAAGAAGTGACAAAAAAGCTTTAAAAAGACAAAATCATTTAGACCACAATCATAATTCCATAAGTTCTTGCATTGGAGAAGACATAGTTGAGCCTTTTATTGCATGAACTTCAAAATTTCAAGAACTTAAATCATGGTTGTTCCAACCGTCCCTCTAAAACTCTTAGTCATACATCATCTATAGAGAAAAGTGACGAAAACTCGAAAAGTGGCTAATATTCCAAAAAGTTGACAAAATCTTAAAAAAGTGACAACAAGAGCTTTATATTTTCATGTCAAACTGCTTAATAGGGGAAGTAGCATGCCCAACCATGACCAAAGTACATCATGCTATCCCCTTTTTCCAACATTGAACATTTACTTCACTAGTCTACTATAATTTTGAAGGGAATAACATAAAAAATGGCTCTATTATCTAATTGCTAAGGAATGGAGATAAGGAATGTAAAAACTACATTGCTCACACATAGTCATAACACTAGAAAAAGAGCATATGCATATCTCTTTTTGAGAACACAGAAAATGTATTCCTCTAAAAATACAGAGTACAACACCCAAGTTTAATCATCACAAAACACAAATACAACTTCTTTGTTCACAAATAGCTATAACCGAAGAAAAAGATCATTGCATATGCTCTTTTTACGAACACGGAGAAAATGGGGAGCTATGGGAAATTTATGCGAACACCAAGAATGAAAGCCAAAAAATTTAGTTCTCAAAAAGCAGTTTCACTCGTGATATTAAACAAACATAACCACCATGGTGATAAAGATGGCTAATCCATTAACAAGTCTGAAACAAGCTAACTCGTTTCGATCCGATTTAATGTGATGGACCTTGGCAATCTAACTTATTTCGATACCACTATCTGTAATTTGTTGTTTGAAGATTCTAGATTGATAAAGAAAATTAAGCATATGTAGCTAGTTCATTAAAAAACTATTTGCATATAACATAAAAATTTCTAGTACTCTCAAAATATAAAGTACTCACCCCTGCGATCACCATTAAATAATTGATACTAGCATTAAACAACTTAAAGTCACTATTGAATTAGAGCCCTAACATGAACAAATAATGTACATATATTAAATACTAATAGTAATATTGCGTTTTTTGCACAAGCAAAAATCTAAGATCAAATATTATTTACTAAGCCCGTGTTTGAGCCGTGTTTTAAGAAAAAAATGCATTATTCATGTCAAATCAATGGGAAATGTGTGATTAAAAAATAAAGAAAAATTTTAAATTTGTGTGTAATATTATTTTATTGAAGAATGTGTCGTTGAAATAATGTCCAATCACTGTTAGAGAATATTTTTTTTAAAAAAATAATGTGGCTCAAACAAGCCCTAAAGTAGGCAAACATCTTGTAGGAATATGCAAGTAGGATTAGGAAACAGCCAATGTTTTGTAGTGTAATAGGTTGTCCAAATAATATAATTTTCTATGATACCATGTATGTTGCCATTAGAAAACCCTAAAAATAATTGATTGGCTCCGTCTTTTCACTTTATTTATTTTTACTACTACTACTATTATTATTATTATTTATTTTTTTGTCATCTTTATAATGGCCTATCAATGTGGGTTCATTCAATATCTTGTCTTCAAGATTCTTTCTCCATTATTTTGTCCGTGAAAAGGACAGTTTTTCAATCAATTTGGAGAAACATGACAGCAAATTAAATTATTAAAGTGGGATTAATAGCCAGTTAAGAAAAACGTGGTTCCCCCTTAATTTTAAACATTTTGACATTTATACCCCCAAAAAGTTGTCCAATCGTGATTATTTCTATAGGATTTAAGTCGATTATGATTTAGGTTAGATTCTACTCTTAATATTCTTTTAAAAAAATTGCGTGCCTATTTTGGATTCACTCAAAACATTCGTAACGACCCTTAAAAGTTAAAAAATTAGATTCCCCGAAAACCTTGACAAATTTTTTTTTCCCCTTAGAATGTAGAATTCAATATCATCTAAATTGGTGTTGAATATCAATTATATAGCATTATACAATGCTTTGGCGTCAAAAAGTAACTTCCATCTTTCCAAAAGGGTTTTTTTTCCCCCTCTCTTTTAAGAAGATGCAATGTAAAATGTAGAATATCTTATAGCATCTCGAGATCTACCATCAAGGGTCACAATTCAATATAGCTCATTGAACTGGACATAGACAAACAATAACATAAAAAGATATTAGACATAGAGAGTAGAGTCAATGGATTAACCCAAAAGGAATTAACCTTTGAAAACCATACTTTTCAAAAAAATAAAAAAAAATGAATATTGATTTTTAGGGAAATGTGCGTAAAAAGTAAGGAAAAATTTTGAAATTATAAGCAGGACAATTTTTTTTTTTTTTAATTACTTTGAACGAATCAAGATTCTCCTCTCTGCCCATGAACCCTATTCTATCATTTCTTCGTTTATAAAGATTCCAACAATTGGGAATTTTATTATTCCCCAAACAACTTTTTAATAAACAGACAAAAGCGGAGAAGCAAACTTGGAGTCCTCCAACAGCTAAAAATAGAATTCATAAAAATAAGGGATAATTGCAACTGAGATCCCAAACCTTTCAAATAATGCCAGACATTTTTCTAACCATTCAATCGTTGCAGTCATCACTCCAAACATTTCAAATCATAACAACAGAAGCCCCAATAGGCAGTTTCCATCCAATTTGTCATCAGTTGGCCCGAAAATTAATTCTAACCACATTTTAATCAATTTTTAAAAGAGCAAAATTGTAATTTAATATTTTTCCATAAAATAATTAAAAAATTAAATCAAAAACAAAAAAGAATAAAAAGAAAAAAGAAAAGACTCTTCTTCATCGACCCCCTCAATCCCAAAACTAGAAATTTGCCGACGCTGCCATCTCCATCGACCACCGCCACCATCGCCATGGACCAAATCGCCATGAACATAACCAAATTAAAAAATTAGAATCCTCCATGTCCTAGAAATCTCTTCCTTTCACATAAAATATATTCTTCACCAAAAATATTGCACTGTTCATATTCCTTCTCCCTAATTATAAGATAACCAGAATTATTATGGAAGATCGATTAATCTGGAACAGCATTCAGTCATTTTTGTTTTCCACTTTCTTTAACTCTTCCCAGATCCAAAAATAGGCTCAAGGTCAACCATGAAGAAACAAGGATCTATGATATTTTCCAAGCTTAAGTAAATAATTAAAACAAGTAAATCCAGGCTGAAATAAATATAGCAAATTTGCTAGAAAACAAAAAAAAAAAATATTCATACCAGAGAAAAATCCAACAGGAGAACTGCTTTGCCATACAAGATTTGAGCAATTCCCATTCCCATTACCAGATTCGAGAAGGGCTGTGAAGAACGAGCTTGGAGATGATCGATGGCTGTGGTGGAGGTGGTCGATGGCGGTAAGTGTAGCGTGGGGGTTGGAGGTCGATGAAGAAGATAATTTTTCCTTGTTTATTTTTTTTTTATTTTTTGTTTTTGATTTAAGCTTTTAAGTATTTTATGGGAAAAATATCGAATTATTATTTTACTATTTTAAAATTGATTAAAATGTAATCAAAATTAAATTTTGGATCAACTAACGACAAATTAGATGAAAACCGTTCATTTGGGCCTCAGTTGTTACAATTTGAAAGGTTTCGGGTAATGATTGCACAATTGAAAATTTAGGAAAAAATCTGTCACTATTTAAAAGATTTGGAGCCTCAGCTGCAATCATCCCTAAAAGTAGCCATACCAAACATATAAAAAAACCAAAAACATGAGGACTTAATCCCCACTGCTTGAATCTAGAAGTAAGAATGATTAGCGGCGGCATAAATAATTAAGCAGAGATCTTGCTTATCTTAGAGTGAGATACAACTCTTGTCAAGAATATAACTTTTTGAAAGTAAAAATAATCATTCTTTTGGGCATGCATATGGCCAAGAAGGGTACCTGTAGAATGATTCCATTCCAGGTCATTTCCAGAGAGGAATCAGCAAGAAATAAACGTGCCCAACGATTTTTCTGACATCACTAGACATGCCAAACATACAGTACTGAATATGATTAAACAAGATTCGACTTAACAAGATAGTGCATTGAACAAGATTTTATCTTCTCGTAGTGTTTGTGCTGAAATATGTGAAAAACCATTTCATCATTTCAAGAAATGGACTTGAAGTTCTTCATGCTGATAAAAGGAATAAACAACTTCTTAAAATGGATGGATACGAAATCTAATACTGCAAAATTCCACATAATCTGGCTTGATAAACATCATAAATATATATATGTATTGTATATTAAGTTTATATGCGATTTAATTCCTCCCATGTGTACTCTCTCTTTCTGAAAAACTCATGGTGGACATCTATACATCGTCTCTTCCGGTCAAGTGAATGTGATTTTTCCAGCTGTGGCTCTCCGACTTTTCATCATCTTCGTCCTCCATACTATTGCCTCCGGTCATGGAAGTACCTCGTGATGATCCAGTTAACAGTAGAGGGCCCTGAGGAGAACCTGACTGGGAATTGCTTTGCTTTGAGGATTCACCATGCTGTTCATGCGAGATCCACTGACCTCCAAGTACTAAAGGTCGATTTGAAGAGTTGCTTGTCGTAGGTGGAACTTTTCGAGTATGAAGCCGATATTTCTGAAATGACAAAAAGAAGAATTATAACAGTTCAAAGTTTTCTAGGTCTATCTGAAACCGCATCACAGAAGCTACAAACAGCAGTTTTTGAGGTCTATATACAAATGATAGATACTAAAGAAAATTCTGCTATTTCAAAGTTCAAACCCCACCTGCAAATGACTCTTGACTTCATCATTTGTAAGACCATCAACTTGCATAAGATCTCTGATCTGCTTAGGAGTAGCAGCTGCAAAGAATTTAAGAATAAGTAAGAAGCTAATTTAAAGAAGAATATCCCATATCAAAGCGGCAGTTGCCACGTTAGTCTCTATGAGATAACCGGTTCTTAATTTTTTTTTCCCTCCGATCAAAACCATATTTCGATGAGATGGAATTATATAGTTCCATAACTTCTATTCTGATAGTCTATTCCATGTACTTAGCATAATTTCAACGTGTAATCCAGTGTAGTCCAATAAATCGTTTGCAAGAAAAACACACAACTTCATAGAACACACATGACTAGTGTGTGGAAATAGCACTCAAATTGCACATTATTTTCACATTGAACTATTGAAGTTAGTTAATAACTTGGATACAATTTAGTTGAGACCTAACCTTGTGGACCTCCAAGTTGTTGCAGGGAACTGACAAATCGCCGATGCAATTCTGGTGACCAGCATCTTCTCTGCTTCCTCTGCTGCCCGGCCCTCGAATTCAATTGACCATTAGCTGCAGAAGATGAACCTGATCCGCTGCAATTAGATATGGAGTTCAAACCACAAGATTCCATATCGTTTCCCACATTCTTAATTCCAGGCGTACAAAGCGAAAGCCCTGCTGCTCTAGGCAATTCATCCCTATCTTCCTTCCTCGCTGTCATCACTGGAAAATTACTATACCCCTTAAATGGCATAAAAGCCCTTCCCACTGTTCTGTTATTACTAGACTGTAACAGTTCATCCATCAAATTGACAGGTCGATTATTTTCTTCTTCAGCTCTCTATTAACCAAAACCACAAAGAACAACAAATTTACATCATGTACACAAGAAACCAGATAATAACATTAACAACTATATGTGTAAACGTATATTTTGATTTTTACCCTTTTGTTGTCTTGTTTTAAGGCTTTCTTGTTGTTGCTGAGTTCAATATCGGGGAAAGGATTTTGATTATCAGAGTTCCATAGCTGCACAGAGCTCATCCAATTCATTTTATCGCTACTGCTAACAATTTCATTTCTTGGAACCTCAACTTTTTCATCTGAATCATCACTAATTTTCTTCAATGGTATAAATTCTTCCAATATTGGCTCAGTACTTGAATTTTTGCATTGCATTAACTCCCCCTTCATTGTCGCAATTGCTGCAACGGCAGTAATCAAAACCCAAAAATTAGCAAACTCATCTATAAAACACCAAAACCCCATCCCAGCAATCAGAAATTCCAAAACCCAATTTCTGAAAAAATTAAGAATAACAATCAAAAACCCATTTCTACACAATAAAAGTAGAAAATTGGCTCACCGTCGGCGAGGAGGAGCATGCAAAGAGGCAGCTCACGTTTGAATGCATCAATCTTCTTCATTTCATCTTGGAGTCTGTTCACATAATCATCAAGCTTAAAAAGCCTTTCAGATGAGTTACTGATCAACGAAACTTCTTCGAGAAATTCACTAATCGTTTTAGGAATATAAGGTTTCATCGCCGATTGTCTACAAGTCAAACTCAGTTCCGATGGTCCCATTTCTTGCCAGATCTTTAGTTTCCAACTAATCAAATATCCCAGTTTTCTAGTGAACCCAGAATCATAGATAAAGGAGAAACAGTGAAGATCTATATCGCCAGTGTGAATGCAATAGATAGAATAAAAACCAGTGGTTTTTTCAGAGAAAGAAACGCGAAGATTCTGTTAAGCAACGCCGAGTTTTGACAGAACTGAGCCGATGATATCTATGCAAATATGAAGTCTTTTCCGGGTCGTCGCATATTTCTTTTTCACATGCGATTTTCCTTTTACTCGAAATTGCCCTTGGTTACATTTGTGTGGTCATTGTTATTTCTAATTTTTTTTCTTAGATTGGAATAATAATATAGCGAATTTAGTAGGGTGAATTGAACAAAATCTTACTAAATATTTGGTAGATTTGATCTCTCTCTCTCTCTCTCTCTTTGGGTACTCCTATTTAGCCCCGTTTGACATTGATTTTTCACTCAAAAATTTTGATTTTGTATCCGTTATTTTATTATTTTAATCGTCATTTTTTATTTTTTCACTCATAGGTGGCCCCCACTTTTCTCTCTAATGATCAAAAAATCAATTTTCAAAATCACTGCCAAACAGGCTCTTAATCGTATCTGTTTAATTTTATACATTTGTATTCCATTTACATAGAAAATTTTAGGAAATTGATTAGTGTATAATTTTGTTATGTTTCATAAGTCCCATTCAATTTGAGATTTTTGGAAACAAAGTAAAGAAGGGGGAAAAAGTTAAAAATAACACAACTAATTTACGATCAAAATTTTTGTTATTATCATTTAAAAATTATGTACTTGTAATTTCACATGAGAAGTAGGAAAAATAAAACCCGTTGAATTGGCCTTCAACAATTTATTCTCGTTGATCATGCAAAATTATTGTGCAAGAACGCTAATTTGTTGAGATAGTTTTGAATTCAATTATATTTTATCTAGATATTAACCCTTGTTTGGTGTAGATTAAATTAAATTAAAATTTCGAGTCAAAATTAACAATTGATTTTAATTATACATTTTATTATATTCATAATATTTTAACCACATATTTTATTAACTTTCATCGATATTTAATATAATTTTGATTTTAATTTATGTCAAGCAATAGCTTAGTGACAATTTTGTAATTCAATATATTAGATTGTACATAGTACACCCCCACTAAAATGAGATGATAAATGTAAAATAGTGTGACATTAAAGTCAAACAAATTAGATGGGATGCATCTTTGGGGGACAGCACATAGGTAAATGAATTACACTTGTTGACACACCTTTTAACATAGGACCCACTAATGTAATCTATAAAAATTTTAGAATAATACAACTTGTAAATAATTGAGTGGTTTAAAGAAAAATAATCTAATGAGCTTCATTGTTTAAATACAAATGATGTGTCAAAAACAGTGTGAAAGATTTTTATTTATTTAGTTGAAAAAATTCTGATTCAATCATATCCTACAACGTCATGCGTATAAATATATTGTGTGTATTTAGCACAATCGAAAATTTTATTCTTCAAGAAAATGATCATGAAATATTTTTAAAGTTGTGTTACATGTAAATAATAAGTTTACATACTCATTTACATACACATGATATTGTGAAATATGAATGGGTCAAAATATTCTCAAATAAAAAATAAATAAAACCTTCCGTATTCTCTTCTTTATATATCATCTGTATGTGAACCATTATTTAACTGCTTACGTACAATTAACATTTATCAATATTTGAAGGTATCAAAAAGGGTCAAAAGTGGAAGCAAATAAGTAATTTGATTATAACTCCTTGCTGCTCGCTAATAAAATTTCAGCTTCGATAAATTTTACTTATAAGTGGATTTGAACTCAACAAAATTCTTGTAAAGATACTATAAATATTTTCTGAAATTCTTTTCCTCTTCCGATAAAATCATAAATTTGATGTATTAATTTAAAATTTTAGTTCGGCAAAGGATAGGACCAGCATGTGTTGGAGGTGGGCGTTAGTGGAAAATCGTACCAAACAATTGGTGTCGTACAAACTTAGCTTAGAGATAAGGAATCTCGGGTTGAGGTCGGGACCCAATCTTTAGTATTGGCCAAGATTTCATTTTACAAATGGTTAAATCTATTAAAGATCATCCAATTTTGTATTTAGTGTTATTAAGGTCACTTAATTTAATTTTAATTTTATTATAATCATTACATTTTATATTTAATGTTATCATGGCCATTCAATTTTTAATTTTATTCTACCATGAGAACCTAATTTCATAAAACGTTTTACCATGACCACTCAATTTCATATAATATTTCACTTTGATGACCCAATTTCTTTTCATTTATTTTAAAGGAGTAAAACGGTAACTTTGCATTATATTAAAAATAAATTTTTTAAAAAAATGAAAAAATATTTTTTTTTAGTTTCTTAAGTAATGTTTTTATAAAATGAGTTTTTTTTATTTTATTATATTTTTTAAAATAAAGTTTTGTTTATTTTTTAAAAATTATTTTATATATAATGCAAAGTTATTGTTTTACATCTTTTAAAATTAGTGAAAATGATGAAAAAATTTGAACAGTCATAGTCAAATGTTGTATAAAATTGGGTGGTCACTGTGAAATAAAATCGAATTGGGTAGCCATTGCAACATTAAATATAAAGTTGATAGGTCATGATGAAGCAAAATTAAATTGAGTGACTATAATGACACTAAATACAAAATTGGATGTCATTGGTGGATTTAACACGTTTTAACAAATTTGAGAGAGAGAGAGATTCCCTTTCCCAATCAAAAAGGACAATCTTTCACAGCCGTTAGATTCCATTACTTTGAAGAAACTCTTTCAAGTTTGTGCTTATGTTCACTTTTTCTTTTTCTTTTCTAATAGAAATTAAGTCAAAGTCAACAATTAATTTTAAATATATATTTTGTAAATATCACGATTTTTCAATCAAATATTTCATCAATTTTATCAAAATTTATTTTAATCCCCACCTACGACAAATCAATTTTTTTGTTCTTTGAATTTTTTATTCTACCCCCTACTCTTTTTTTCCTTTAAAAATAAAATCAACAATGAGACAAAATTTGAAAAGTGATATATCTATAGTGTATTATGTTATTGTCTTTTTATTTAAAATAGAAATCATCTCTTGCCTAGAATACATCTTTGTTTGGACTCCATTTTAACGAAATTTCGATTAAAAATATACTTTAAAATAGTAACTTTTTAGAGAGTATGTGAGTAAAAAGTAAAGAAAATTTGTTACTATACGTGTAATATTATTTTATTAAAAAATATATGGTTGAAAATTGATTTTTAAAAAAAATTATTTTTTATTGAATGGAGCCCAAACAAGGGCACCTTCCAGTATTATTGGAGGAATCGTGAGGGCAAAATGGTCAAGTAAAATGTGTATTGATTGATTTTCATACGATTATTACCCTAGTACAAGGGACTTTTTGTCGTGTTCAGCACAGCACCCCTGATTGACAATTTTTCTTTTTTCTTTTAGCCAACTGTCAATAAAAAATTGATAAACATCCCCATATGTAAACCTCGGCAAGATTCTTGTGTTCACGTAGCAGCTCTCATTTTCATATTCTTGTAGAGGAAGCTTAAAAACAAATTTGGTCAAATCAAGAAAGGTACACGTTAGGAGTTTTATATGAATTATTCTAAGGAGAAACAGTACGATAATACCTCTCAACCCACCTTCTACTTAGAGGTGACAATGAGCTGAACAGAGCCCTCATTTTTCATGTTATTGTAGAGGAAGCTTAAAACAAATTTGGTCAAATCAAGAAAGGTACACGTTAGGAATTTATATGGATATCTCTAAGGAAAAAGGCAAATCAATCCCTCTCTACCCACTTCTAGCTGGCTCGGCTCTAATGCCCATGAGCTCGGCCCGTGCCATCACGAGTCAAACTCACGGCTCTTTCCTTAAGGGCCCAGCATAGCTCGGCCCTCGAGCTTGTGGTTCGTGAGTCGAGTCGAACTTCGATCAGTGAGTTCTCTTTTCTAGATAAAATCCTCCTTCTGTTACTTAAATTTCGAGGGGACGAAGTAAAAATTGTACACAAACAACTTTTTACGTATAGGGGTGGACAAAAAAATCAAAAATCGACGAAACCAATGTAACCAAACTGAAAAATTGGTTTGATTCGGTTGATTTTGACCATTAATAAGTCGGATTTGGTTGATTTCGGTTTAAGCAACCAATCCATTAATTAACTAGACCCAACCCAAATATACTTTTTTATTTATTTGTATTTTTATATTTCATTGTTTTAAATGTAAAGAATAAAATAATAAAAACACAAAATATAATTTTGTCTCAATTAATTTGTTTACCTTCTATATTTTTCTACCAAAACGCTAACTATCAAAGGAAAAGAAAGCAAGAAGGAGTGTTTAATGCAAATTTCGAATTCAGATTGCAACCTTGCTTTCATTGTGGTGTAATTGTTTGTTGATAATTATTGGATTTATATATATGGTGATTTTGAACAAATTGATTTTTACCATTTACATTATATATAAAATTTATATGTATGAAAAAAAATTTAAGCCAATATAGGTAGACAATTTTTTACTTGCACAAATTTCAAACTGATTAACCAAACTAACCGACCTAAACCAATTTGGTTTGGATTTGATTTTAACGACTGTGGGTTGAAATTTATCCAAATCGATTTCGGTTTTGGGTTGCACTCAAAACCAACTCAATCTGAACCATGCCCAAGCCTAATTACATATACAATTTTTAAAATAATATTATAAAATAACAAATTTTATTAATATAGTTAAATTAGATATCACTTATCTGACGATCTGCTATTTTGATATATTTATCTTGCAGTCGAAAATGAGCGTCTTGCCAATCATTTACGTACATTAATGCTTTCAAAATATCTTCTTTTAGTCGGCTCCTGACTTTGGACAAAAAACCATCTTACTTGCATTAAAAGCAGACTCCAAATTTATAATGCTAACCAAAGGTATTAGTAGGTTTTTTGCAATCGCAAAAACTACTAGCCATCATCGTTCGTACCTTTGCCAAGAGTCAATTACTTCTTCTAAACTTTTTAATTGATGAATCGTGTTATGATTAAAGTAATCAAGTAATTCAATTTATGATTAAAGTAATCAAGTAATTCAGTAGGCAATGTATTTAGACTTGCATTCGATATTTTGATTACGTATGGTAGACATAATACTAT